CTTTGGTTCATGGGAATGATCAAGCATTAAGACCATTTGTTGCTTTATTGTTTGGCCCAGGTTCCCCGCGGGTCTGTAGTCACGATAATGCATCACCGTGCAGGCAGAGGTGGACTCGACTGCGAGGTTTCAATACAAGTACAGGGTATTTTATACTCTCCTGTTCATGTACACAGGTATAGAGCAATTGATGACAGAATGCAGATATTACAATAAGATTCTGAGGTCATCACATACAGAACAGATAAAGGAAGATCAGCCAATCATACAGTGACAATGAGATTGCAATATTTCTAATTGCAATGTATTGACATTTCAGTTGAGTAACTTCCAGACACTTGAACCCATTTCCAGGTCTGCTTAGACATGTAAATTCAGGCTACTGAGAAACTATTCATGAACTCATAAGCTCATCTAGACTCAGACCCTAAGTAATGCATCTGCACCATTTTGATTGGCCAGGGCACATGGAGCGCTCTGAGCTAGCAAAAGATACTTCCTGGTAAACTGAATGGCCTGTCTACTCTGGCTTACAGTTAAAGGTGAGAGAAAGGAGTGGGGAGGAATGCCATTTTAAACAGTGACTTAGCTTAGAAAGCTGGTGCTTTTGAGAAGGAGTGTAGGATTGATTTTATAACGTAAAAGCACACAGAAGCAACATTTTTCTGCCAGGATTTATCCAAATTTTCCCAACAGTTGCCACTGAATGTACTGAGTGCTGGCCTGGATGGACCATTACTTTGACCCAGAATGGCTTTTATGTTCTTAAGTTCTCTCTCTTTCTTTATTTTATTGCAAATTAATTGTAATTAAAGAGAAATTGTGGGTTTCCATGATCTGAGGCAGTGCAAATTAATTGAAACAGGTATTTAAGGAGGATTGAATGAGAAATGAATTGCTGGCTTTGTGGTCTGTGAAATGCGTATCATCTTAGCAATTATGTCTAAATTTGCACGCGCGGACGCACACACCAGCATATGCCATTTTTATGCAGATTTGTGTCCTGTGCCTCCTGAATCTTTCAAGTATCTAGAAAAACTGTTTCTTTGAAAACCAGCTACTGAAGCAGAAATCAGGGAGTGCAGCATGCCGTGAAATGCTTGTTACAGCTTTCACAGTTGGATATGGAAGAGTTTTATGAACCTTATGAGCGTTATAACATTATTATTGTTATTATATGTCTATAGGAAAACCTCACAGATAGCCTCGCGGTGTCGCTCTTTTATTTCTTATATCTATAATGTGTTGTCGCTCTGACCTCTTCTATGGCTGCTCACGGCAAAATACTTACGTCATTATGCTATTGCACTCTACACCTTATGGGAATTGTAGTTCTAGTGGTAAGATTATTCCTCTTCCTTGCCATGGAAAGACCGACGTGAAACTACAATTACCAAAGTGCATCGGGCTGGCTGTCTCTTCCTTTTAGATATTGCGCAGCAAGGATTTCAAAACCTATGAAGATCAGTGGACGTACAAAACAGTGTGAAATGGAGGATGCAGGAAAATCGCTTGAGTGGCAAGGGCCCAGCCTAGTGTGAGCGATTAGTTGGGGCTTTTGCAGGGATATATTTGTCCTGATATTTCTTCTTGGCTTGGCTGCACACATGGATGACAGTAAAGTAAGTAAATGGTGGGTAACTGGGATATTTCATTATAGTGGTGTCAACCGGTAATGTTTCTGACATTTCACAGGTTAAACTCATGAATAGAATAATTTCTGAAGAAACGTGTATATGAACTGCAATAATGAATTGTCTTGTAGTGTAATCCTATATATGTCTGCCCTGGAGTAAGTGCTATTGAGAGCAATGGGACTTAGCACCAGGGAAGTGGATATAGCAGGGCTAAGTGACCTGGTGCTTTTCAGAGATTTTTTGATGGCAGCTCCTATAAGCATTCCTGTAGTCAGGAATTATCCAAAACATCCAGAGTATGGGATTACAGAATAAAGCTGCAATCCTATATGTATTTACCTGGGAGTAACTCCCATTGAACTCAGTGGGGCTTACCTCTGAGTAGGGATGCATAGGACTGCTGTATAAGAGGCTGAGCCATTCTTCCCAAACCCAGTGACCTCCAGATGCAGTAAACCTGCAACTCTGATAATTCCTTGCCAGTGTGGCAATAAGGGTTATAATGAAGTGGATATAAAGAACTTTGAACAATCTTAAAAGAGCTGAGTAAATTTATGTATTTATTATTAATAATAAACAGAAGTGTGTGTTATTAGGATTGAGCAAGGAGGTGGAACTAAAGAAATGAAACCTCTGTGTAAAATCAGTTTACTTCAAGCAATGAATGATACTTAAATTCTACATAGTATTTGTTCAAAACATTTCATTGTGTCATAGTCCTTAAAACAGCCTTGCCACACAGGCTTCTAGGTTTAGTCTTATGTTTGCTCATACTGGATCCTGCCTGCCAAGTGTACTTACTGTCTCTATCATGTAGAAGAAATTTTTCAACATTGCCATGGCTTCTTAAAAATTATGAGATAGTTAATCTTTCAGGAGTATGATGCAGAAGACATAGAAACATAGAGAGTCAGAAGGGGCCTCCCAGGCCATCTAGTCTGACCTCCGGCACCAGCTGGCTCCGCTCATGACATGCTCAAGACAATACATGTTATGCATGTATGTACCCCAAAATTTTGATTGGGATAGCTTTTGGAGTTATTAAAGAAAATGTACTATAAAAAGGCAGAACATGTATGTTTTTTTCCTTATATAGTGTGGTTCATGTGTCTGACTGCTGTTAGGATAAAGGGCCTTAAAAATAATTGTGCTAACTATTATATAACATTTGCACCCTATATCTTCAGTTGTTTTTAAGGAATGTGAATTCATGGTTTTGGTTGCATAATAATTATATACTGTTTTCTTTTTTGGTTTTGAGATCTTAAATTGTCCATACATTTGCTATGGTATGTAGCTACCAGAAGAATTTTGTAAACTGAACTGGTTATACATTGCCATCAGTATACATGGCATGTCACAGAGTAACAAGCAAAATGAACAAGTTTAATCCCACCCTGTCCAAAACATATAACCTGTGCTGTGATAGAGAAGAGGTGGAAAAACAAGAATAATGTTATTTAACTTGCTAGTTATCCAACATAACTTAATAAAACAAAGCAGATAAATTACACTCAGTAAGTATTATAAACCTTTAGCAGGGTTCAAGTAACATATGATGCCTTGCATAAATAGAAACAAAGAAACAGAGCGAGTCAGAAGGTGTCTCCCGAAGCATCTAGTCTGACCCCCTGCTCCAGCCGGCTCCGCTCATGACATGCCCACTATGTGCATATCAAATATTCATGTTCCTTTGATTTTCCCATATTTTGTTGAAATGGATTTAACTGATATTGATCACAAGATAGTCAGCTCTGTGATGGTACAAAATAATTTTCTTGTGGCACAAAGTAAACAAAAACAAACTGGCACTAGTTGGTTGTAGAAGTAGCCCCTTTGCTATGACATCTTGAATAAAATGTAGGGTAACCTTCAGTGTATGTACCATAACTTGGTGGTTCCAGTATTTTGGGGATAATTAAACATTTTCAACGTTGAGAGTATTGTGTGCACTTTTCTCAAAATAGCTGCTGTGGTGGGTATGACTGATCAAACCTTTCCAAGAATGCACAAAAGTGAGACTAACTGGTTTGCGCAAGTGACTACTGAATAAAAAGCAGAGTGCAGTCTGAGCTCCAGAAGGCAGGAAACAAAACAAGCAAAAAACCAACCCCCCAAAGCAACCAAACTTTTTTGAACCCACATTTTTCATTTCCAACACTCACTTAATGGAAGGCAAACTTGAAGCTCAATGACAACTGAGTACCAAGGCAATAGACAACTGAGTGCAGTCTGAGTCTCAAATGCCAAATCACATATTTGCCTCCATAAAGCAAATTAGCAGTGCTTAGAGAAACAGAAGTGCAAGACCCAGACAAAACACATACACATCCTTAGCACAGCAAAATAACCCCTTCACTCCCTGCCATTCTCCTTAGCCTTGAGGGACACTCCCTAGCTTCCTAGCACACCTGTTTCCTGGCAACTGGAGTTACATCAGAATGAATAAAGCAAAAGAATGAAGTGCTAGGCTGCAGCTTCCCGCCATTTTGTATTTTATAAGAATGTCCCTACATGAGTCCCAAAAGCATACTTGGAAGTAAAGAAGGGTGTGGAGGAAGGTGTTTCAGCTGGTAGCTTTCCAACCTCCTGTCTAATAATAATAATAATAATAATAATTTAAAAATGAAGATAAACTAAAAACCAGGAGGGGCAAAAATCCTAGAGTGCTGTGCCTATAGGAAAATGCATATTGTGTACACAACTACATGTTGTGAGCAGCAGAGTATATAACTGAGGAAAATCATTATATTTCAAAAGCATTGAGCTGCAAAATCAGGAGGCAGTGGAGGGTGGGGGGGCAGTGTTTGAAGAAGGTTTTTTTGGTGCCATAGTGGAAAGGCAGTCAAGTGGCACAGTTTGCAACCAAATTTCTCTTTAGTCTTGCAAATCTGCTTTTTCTGAACCTCAGCCCCAGAGAGGAATAGGTGTTTTTGGACTGACTGCGGTCAGGCTACTCCTTGATTGTCTCTGACACTCTAAAAATGTGCTTGCCTGTCTTTACTTGGAGTTCTGTGTATCAGGACTGAGATGAGACAGTGGCATTTTATCAATAGAAGCTTTCATTCAGTTAGAACTAAAAACAATATTGTACAAGTGATTTTGTACTTCTACTATTAAGTACGGATCATAGAAGTGTTCTTGAAAATCCTTCCTTCCTGAGTTATCCAGGATTTGCTAAAATTTTAAAAAGTATATGCATAAGACAAGTGTATGTAATCACTAGATGGATCTGCACTGTCTCACTCTGAGATTCATTTTTTCCTCTTGTTTTTCAGTCTTCTTATACATTTCATAACAGTTTTCTGTGAAAATCTGTTTTCAGCTTCCTCTCCTGAAGTGAAATCTGCTGTCATTTTCTAGGTAACTGGAGGCAAAGTGAAGAAGCCAGGAAAACGGGGTCGTAAGCCAGCTAAAATAGATCTGAAAGCCAAACTTGAGAGGAGCCGGCAGAGTGCGCGGGAGTGCAGGGCAAGGAAGAAGCTCCGGTACCAGTACCTGGAGGAGTTGGTTTCAAGCAGAGAGAGAGCAATCTATGCTCTTAGAGAAGAACTGGAAATGGTAAACTACCTTTGTCTTTTTGCCTTTATCCATGCTTTAACACAGGACCTGCATCCAGGCTTAACTGAAAAATGGAAAAGGACCTAGCAACAGACCCTTGGTCTGTTGGCTCAGACCAAGGGTCCATCTAATTCAGCACTCTGCTCACACAGCAGCCAGCAAACTGCTCATAGGCACTTACAAGCAGGATACACTCCCACCCATGATCCTTAGCAAGTGGGGTACATAAGCTCACTGCCGCTGATACTGCAAAACCTTGCCCTTGTACTACTCTAATGTAAATAAAGGTGACCACAGGAAGCAATTGTTTGGGCACAGACCTGTACCTGATCTGTGGTAAACTTCTCTCAACTTGGAAGACTAACAGTAAATCTCTCAGTACAGATTAGTTTATCCTATCATGTAGTAAAGAAAGATTGTATTGCACATCAGGTATGAATAGATGGTAGTACAAGTGGTGAAAGTTTACCTGTAACTCAAGACAGTTAGCATGACAAGTGGTTATGTGCAAATGGTGCTAAGTTTCCACTTAGTAAAACAGCTGCCCTTGTCCATTCGCTGCTTGGGATGTTAAAATGTGATGGGTAGTTGCAGTCCCAGTCAGAGTTGTGTCTGCCCTATACTCCCCACCCCCCAATTGCTTTTTCAGTAGTGTATAAATCGGTACCTCTACATATGTGACTGTCACCTATCCTCTATCACTTATTTTGTCAGTGGTAAAAATGACAGAGGTGCATATGCACACATGCACCATATACAGTGCAATGCACAGCACACCATATTCACTATATATTGCACAGTGGAACTGAGCTGCAATTCTGCTGCCGCATAGTGCATTTGGGGAGCACAATTGTGTTCATAGGACCTGGAGATGGCTACAGCATTCAGCCTGCCATAATGGCTAGGAAAGCTAGGTATTGTATTTTTTTTCCCCGACTGAACATACAAAGGAGTAAGGCTCTGGTGCTGTGCACACTTCCTTGGAGGTAAGATCCTTGAATTCAATGGGATTTTCTTTTGATTAGCCAGGTATAAAGTTAGACTGGACATCACTTTAAGTAAACTTGTCTACGTCTTCTAGGATAGGTTCCATGCAATAGGAGCAGAAGAGGGGAAGCCACACAAACCAAGGCACCTTCTCTAAACAATGGTGACATGCCTGAATGGTTTCTTAGTAATAGAATTCTTAAAGATAGGACAGTCTCTGTGTGGTTAAGAAATTATTCTCCTGAAAAGCATGATTGCAGACCAATTATTCTGTGGTCATTGCTGAGCTTCTTAACTCATAAATTTGGGAGATGTAGCTTCTCCCTTCACAATGCTATCAAAGAGGAATGGGCAACTTGGAGCCTTCCAGATGTTTTGGCTTATTTCCGCTAGTCTTATCCCACATGGCCAATGGTGCTATAGAAAAATCTAACTTTATCCTGGTTTGGTACTCAGTAACAGGTTTATGAGGTGTGGGTGCATGTGTGTTGTTTCTCTGTGGCCCACACTGTTGGTCCCTAGTGCTTTCAAACAGCTCCGCTGCTTAACATCTGAGAGCAGGGAGCTGCTGCTAACCAGCTACCTAAAAAGAGGTACATGACTGTCTTGTACAAGGATGGGAGAAGAAAATGAAGTGTCTTTAACAGTACGGATCTAAGTTATTTCAGTATGTTTTAGTGTTCTGTTTTGAGCTGTCACTAGGCAGTTCTCACGCTCTTTCAAGCAATATTGTGTGAATATAAAAACTTGCTTGAACTCTACATAGCCTTTCCCACAACCATGCTGACCTCTCCAGTTCTGTTGTTACATACGCATTACGGAATTCTTTAGTGATTACATAGGAAGGCAAGCATTACAGTACTCTGCTTCTGTGCTCCAGTTACTTTATATATGTTTTCTGTATATTTCAGTACAAGCAGTGGTGCATGGCAATGGACCAAGGAAAAATCCCCTCTGAAATTAAAGCCCTACTGAGTGGTGAAGAACAAAGCAAACCCCAGCAGAACTCAGCCAAGATTGCCAAGGCTGTGAAGACAGATGCAAAAAGTCACAATTCCTGTGAGTACCAATTAATGAAATGCTTAGGTTTGTTATGGCTGTGGGGGTGGTCAAGTATTTAAGCATGGTGAAGAACAGTAAGAACACTTGGGCAGATGCATTTATATTATGTGTTAAGTTCCTCAGATGCGAGACACTACGCAAGAATTGTTACAAAGAACAAACTATAGCTATGACAAATACTAATAAGACCTTAAAAGTGGCCCTGCCAATTAGCACCCCAAGCACCAAGTGCCCAATCAACAGAATGGTGACATTTGCACACATGCAAGTTAGTTTCTTTATTCACAGTAAGCCTGTTTGGTTGAGCTGACTGGTCCAGTGAACAATTTTGGCTATCACCCACCTGTGGACAAAGGACAAGCAGAGCAACCGTACCAGCAAGAAAGTTTCTTTGAGACACTTGACTAATCCTATGAAGTGTGTCAGGCTTGCTCAGTGGGGACAACTGCTTCTTCATGGCTATGGATTGCCTCTGTCTTTCTGGTTCTGGAAGTAGGGATTTGAACCCAGATCTCTCCAGTTCAAGTTCACCAGGCCTGTTATGTGGGAAGGTGCTCAGTCTCATGCTTTCCACCTTGCTTGTCTATTCAGAACAGCTGATTTGGAGTGTTGGTACCAACCCACACAACTCTGCTAGCAGGATAACTTGACTCTTCTTGTGAAAATAATTCCATGCTGTCACCCTGTTTACCCATGCATGCTTGTCATGTTGACTGGTATGGGGAGTTCAGCCACCATGGACTGAACAAGAGTGATAGAATTTTCATTGACAGATTACTCTGCGTTGCCCTGTATAGGCAACCTGCCTGCTAATTCAGTTGACACAGTGAGGGAGCTGGTTTGTACATTCCTTCCACCATGAAGATAAGGCCCATCTGTGTAGGCCCATCATCAATAAATATTTTCCCACATGGGCAGGCACAGAGATTTCATAAATGGCACCTGTCTTTGAGCAGTATACTTGCATTCAGGTCATAAACTAGCATATCCTTTCCTGGCTAAATTCAAGGTGCTGGTTTTAACCTTTCTGACCTGAAATATTGCCTTGAAACTGCAGAGCTGAACAGAGACACATCCTGGGCATTGTTGCTCACTAGAAGATGAAAGGCCAGTGGGAAGTTGCTCACCTGCCTCGTAGGAAGGGAGATAATGGCAAAAGGGAGATCAACCCGCTCTGATCTGTTAACTTGTTAAGATGCAGCTGTTCTTCTTCCTTACTCATTCTTTTTCCCCATATTATCTTGTCTGTTAGAATGTGTGTGTGCAGGGCAAGGACTGTGTCTTTTCATATCTGTTTAGCATATAGACAATGTAAGGTACTTTATAAATGATTTAAACATGGCTTGAGGTATCTATCAAGGATTGCTTTTGGCCACATGAAGCTACGGAGCTACTACAGTCTGTCTTGGGCTGTTGTCTAGCTGCCCAAGGCCATCTGAGGTGAGGTAGACAGTGACCCATGATACCTGCTATCCAGTGGTTGCACCCTGACTCTCACATAGCTTCCCGGAGAAGACTCATCTGGTGCTGATGCTAAATGCTTTCTTGCTGCCAAGTGATGAACATTTTAAATGCCCAGGCTTTTTAGCTCTTGATTTCGTATCTTTTATTGTGGTTGTATTTGGTCCTTTCCGTTTATTTTCTAGTTTAGTAATCTACAAGACTGGTTCTAAAATAATTTTGTAAAGCTTAAGGTATCTTTCACACACCATCACTTTGACCAGATTATTGTTACTTTTTAAATCTAGGGAAGATACCAGACTTTGCACACAGACCCCTGCTTAACAATTAGCATTTGACATGAGCGAAAGCTGTGGTGCTAAAAAGATTCTGTAGCTCCTACCAAACTCTTTAATCTTTCTTTTCTCACCACACTATCATGTGAACAGTAACAGGTTTTGCCAGACACTGTGTGCCATATATTTTAGTAATGCCCCTTTCAGGTGTATGTTAGGCTGTTTAACTGACAGCTGAAATCATACTTGTAACAAGAGCTTACAACTGAGGTAATGGGCTGGATGAGGGCCAAGGTAATGGGCTGGATGAGGGCCAATAAACTGAAGCTCAGTCCAGACAAGACGGAGGTCCTGTTGGTTGGTGGTTCGGGCTTCGGAGAAGGTGAATTGAACCTTGTCCTGAACGGGGTTGCACTCCCTCCTAGGGACAAGGTCTGCAGCTTGGGAGTGCTCCTCGACCCGGAGCTTTCACTCAAAGCTCAGGTGACAACAGCGGCGAGGAGCGCTTTCCTCCAGCTTCGGCTGATTCATCAGCTGCGTCCCTACCTGGAGTACGACTGCCTTGCAACAGTGACTCATGCGCTGGTGACTTCCCGTCTTGACTTCTGTAATGCGCTCTACGTGGGGCTACCCTTGAAGACGGTCCGGATACTTCAATTGGTTCAGAATAGAGCTGCCAGGCTGCTGACGGGGACTGGACGTTATGTTCAAATGACTCCAGTTCTCCGTCAGCTTCACTGGCTCCCCATTGAAGTCCGGGCCCAATTCAAGGTGTTGGTGATGACCTATAAAGCCCTAAACGGCTTGGGTCCTGGTTACCTGAAGGAGCGCTTACATCCATATATGCCCAGTCGCCCCCTGAGATCGGCGGGAGAGGCCCTTCTCCGGGAGCCCTCCGTGAGAGAAATTAGGAGGGTAAGTACTCGGAGGAGGGCTTTCTCAGCGGTGGCGCCTAAGTTATGGAATGCGCTCCCCAGAGAGGTCCGCCTGGTGCCGTCGTTATTTGTTTTTCGGCGCCAGGTGAAGACCTTTTTATTTAAGCAACATTTTAAATGTTAATATTACTGAATTTTATCTGGCCAGGGCGGCTTATTTTATATTGTGTGTATATTGTATTTTAAATTATTATTACTATTCTAATATGTATATTTTAATTTATGTGGTTTGATTTATTGTTGTAAGCTGCCCCGAGGCTTCGGCGAATGGGGCGGCATAAAAATGTTTTAATAAATAAATAAATAAATAAACTGTGTTTGAATGTCTTTTTCAGGGTAAAGATCCATCAGCAGACATCAGAGTCAACATTTTATAAAATGAGCTGAAGTTAAGAAAAGAAAACGCGGTTATTTGTTATCTTTATATGAATCTTTCCAATGATTATAATGTTAGCCAGTTATTATGCTGCAGAAAACTTGACTATTCAGATGAATTATCAAATGAATGTGATGGCAAGCTGACAGAATTAATTATATAACTTTTAAACCTTGTTTTAATACAGATGCTGATATTTGCATGCATGTAGAAATGTTTGCTGTAACGTGCTTTTGAGCATATGATTTGTGTTTAGTTCCCTGTTCATTGTATATGATAGCGGTTATTTAAGCAACTGTGCAGTGAAGTCTGAGATTTTCTTCATTTGATGTTTAAGTAGACTGATACACAGGTATTTGTGGTGCATGTTGTGATACTAATTACTCTATCCAGTTGTTGGCTGTGAATATTTATATTTAATAGCTGCTGCCTTCCTTTTTATACTTCCATTGTTTTTGAACTAGTGTAACATTGTAGCTAACACCATACCGTGTGAACCAGACCTTAGCTCAAATGTCACCTCTGCTTACTTTAGGCTAGTACACTCCACCTCCAGTTTGGGCTAATACTGGCCTACTGTATAGAATTGTTGTAAATATACTTGAGGTCAAGTGTATGAATGTTTGCGTATTTAAAAAGAAATAGCTGTGCATGCTTCTCTATATAAGCGAACATAAGAGAGACATTAACACAGGTGGGATAGTTTTCTGGATGTCCTGGGTAATGTTTGTGTTTTACAAAGGGAACCATTGAAAAGTAGGATCCTTTATCTACTGTCTGAAATGTTACAGCTGATCCAACCTTCTCAATAAGCTAAATATGTGGACTAGACCTCTATCAGTGATGCCACAAACACTTACTAGCTAAAGAATGGTATTTAGTGTTTTTTGTTTTTCAAATCAGTCCCATCAAATCAGGAGGTATACTTCATTCCGAACATTAAAAAAATCCTACCAATCAGCTTGCAGAACATGGACAGACAGCCCAGTTAATCTTACTTTCCAGTTTCTCGTTTGTCTAGTCACTCAGTTCTTGGGAGTGATGTTTGCTGTGATTCTGCTGCACAATGGAAACATAGAAACTAAATGAGTCAGAAGGTATCTCCCAGGCCATCTAGTCTGACCCCCGGCTCCAGCAAGCTCCGCTCACTACATGCCTACCACGTGCATGTCTAGCCTAATAGAAACCATGTCTGACGTGGTGCAAATGACGCTGCCAGTTGTGGTACATCCTGGATCCTTTGGGCTGATGTCACAGTCCACATATTTTCAAAAAGCATGGACCTGGGCAAAAGCAAAAGCTGCCCTGGGCCAGCCTGCTTTGAGAAGCATAGAGTGGGGAATACATCCAACATAGTGGCAGGCCAGCTATGGATTAATTTGTCCTCATGAATGAATTATGTATTTCACTTTCTAATTCAAAGGTTTATCTTGTGAAATGAGACAAGCTATTTAATACATTAGAAAATAACTTTAAAATTGCTGAGGTGCTTTTATGAATAGGCACTTTTAAAATTTAAATTTCTTAAGCTTGTATAATAGTGTGATAAAACTTCTTACTACATTTAAGTGAAATACCACTGAGCCAATGTTAACATGAATGCTATCATTTTGAGTCAAAACACCAGTGCACTCTTTCTTGCTTGTTCAATGCACTCAAGGAGCAGTTTTGTAAGGGAGATGCCATTTCCCACCTATCTGGTTGGCTGGGTGATAGCTGGAGAGAGAGAACAGAAGTGATCTGCCAAGGACACCAACAGTGACTTTGCTCTTGCTGAATGAAACATATCTAGTAATTTTATGCAAATTAAAGGGTGAACAAGGGACAGGTGGTGAATGGATACTTTTAATTAGTTGACTCTGTCCAAGACTTTTGATGCATGACATCATTTAGACTGTAGACTCCTTATAACATTGTACATCAGAATGTGAAAGTCTTGGTTTCTTAGAATTGAATGCATTTATCACATGTAGTTGACAAATAATTACATTACCTATTTTGTTTTGTTGTTGTTGTTTTGCATTAAAATGGATGTAAGATCAAGTAATTTTCCAGTCATTTTTCAATTAAAAATACTACCAGCTTATCACTGTGAGATGGGGTAGAGAGAATGACTGTGTATTGCACATTGTGCCCTGCTTGCAGTGTGTATTTTGGGACCAAAGCAGACAAGACATTAAAACTGGAAATCTATTTAATATGTATGGGTGTTCCTTATAGCAATGGTTTGTTGAAACACTGTGGTGTAGTGCTTAATGGGACTTAGGAGATCTAGGTCCTGGTCCTCACTCATCCATGAAGCTCACTGGGAGACTTTCAGCCAATCGTGGACTCTCAGCCTAACCTATCTCAGAGGATTATTGTGAGGATAAAATTGAGAAGAAGAAAACCTTGTAAGGCATTCTGTGTTCTTTGCAAAAAAGGAAAAACAGGGTATAAATGTAATATAATATAATAATAATAAAGATTAATTTCAGTTTGTAAGGTTCAGTTGAAACAATAAGCTGCAGTTCATGTAAAATGGAAGGGGAAGTTTGTCAACTGTTCCTTCAGCCGTGGAGAGGAATGTCACCACAGTGAGCCTGATGGCCTTTCAGGTACATGCACACAAGAAACTGCATAGAGTGGAAATTGCAGGATTGCTTGCCATGAAGCTTCTATATAGTTAGCTCAGTATCTCCCCCCCCCGCTCCTATGCAGCCTGAGGGAGGTTTGAGTCCCAGCCAAAATGACCTCTTTTTGTCACTGGAAAGAATAATAAATACCGTATTTTTCTGTCTATAACATGCCCCCATGTATGGGATGCCCCCCCACTTTTCCTAATGATTTGCAGTGAGGAAGCTGCTGCTGTGCGAGCGTGCCTCTTCACCCCTCCGCCCTTTCGCGCCTCTTCGCTCACTCTTCTCCAGTAAGTCATTCCATCTCATTAGGTGGCCAAAGTATTTGAGTTTAATCTTCAGTATTTGGCCTTCTAAAGAGCAGTCAGGGTTGATCTCCTCTAAGACTGACTGGTTTGATCACCTTGCAGTCCAAGGGACTTGCAGGAGTCTCCTTCAGTACCACAATTCAAAGGCCTCAATTCTTCGGTGCTCAGCCTTCCTTATGGTCCAGCTTTCACAGCCATACAATGCAACTGGGAAAACCATAGCCTTGACTATACGCACTTTTGTTGGCAGGGTGATGCCTCTGCTTTTTAGTATGCTGTCTAGATTTGCCATAGCTTTCCTCCCAAAGAGCAAGCATCTTTTAATTTCTTGGCTGCAGTCCCCATCTGTGGTGATCTTGGAGCCCAGGAAAATGAAATCTGTCACTACCTCCATTTCTTCCCCCATCTATTTGCCAGAAAGTGATAGGACCGGATGCCATGATCTTAGTTTTTTTAATGTTGAGTTTCAAGCCAACTTTTGTGTTCTCCTCCTTCACTCGCATCAAGAGGCTCTTTAGTTCCTCTTCACTTTCTGCCATTAGAGTGGTATCATCTGCATATCTGAAGTTGTTGATATTTCTCACAGGAATCTTAATTCCCACTTGTGATCCATTTAGCCCTGCCTTTCTCACGATGTGCTCTGCATATAAGTTAAATAGGCAGGATGACAGTATACAGCCTTGCCAAACTCCTTTCTCAATTTTGAGCCAATCAGTGGTTCCGTGTCCAGTTCTCACTATTGCTTCTTGACTCGCATATAGGTTTCTCAAGAGACAAATAATATGGTCTGGTACTCCCACCTCTTTAAGAACTTGCCACAATTTGGAGAGAGAAGATGGCGTCAGAACAAGACGGTTGTGATTAATGGAGTTCTGTTATCACGCTGCTATTGCTCGGTAGTGATTCGTGGGAGACTCATCTAAGCCCTTTCGGAGTGAAGACAGATTACCTGGGCATGCTTTTGGCTTGATATGAGATGGCAATCTCATATCTGCTGGGAGCAATTCAGGTACTTCTCAACTGAGTAACACAGGGTGGTTCAGCCCCTTCAAGTTCTCGACATCTTAATTTAGCTTAGGATTTTTTTTTAGCCAGATAAGCATTGGAACTGCTGAGTAAATATTTTTCATTTTTTTCCCAAAATACTACCCATGGAAAAGCTACATTTGTTTATAATTTGGCATCAAGAAAAGAAAAAAGCCCTCCGGATGTTTAGGCGGCGACTGAGATAAGAGAGTGCTGAGGCTTTTGTCTAAGTTGAAGCAAAAGAAAAAGACTGTTTTCTCTAACCTCTCTAAGGGCGAAAAATTAAATAACTACGGTGCAATTAAAGATAGAAGTTTAAAGCTTTGACTGATCATCTTGGATATCTGTTTGGACTTCTGCCAAGAGTAACTGGACACTCAGGATATTTTTTACATTGTGGGATGCTTTCTTCTTTAATGTGATGACTGTTTTGGGTGAGCATTCCTATTTTTCTGTTGCAATACTACTTGTGGAAAAAATCCATCTGTTGCTAATTGGTATAAAGAAGGGGAAGGAAGGGAAAGAAAAAAAAAAGGAAGGATATAAGAATCTCCATTTTCTCTCCTGCATTTCTGGGACCTCTGCCAAAGTATCTGGCAATTTGCCAACCGTCTGACTGCTAGTGATCTAGAGAAAAGAAAATCGGAATTGGCTATCACTCTGTGGCTATTGGAATTATGGCAATGATGGAAAAGTTAAAAAGAACATTTTTGGCAATAAAAGAATCTTTAACAGCTTTACAAACATCCCAAGAGGTGATGTTGATACAACAGGAATTCTTCTCAATTGAACAGAAAAAGCGCTTTGATAAACTTGATGCTTCTTTTTTCGAAATGGGGGTTGGTGTACAATCCAAAACTGAACAGAATATGCAAGAAACACAACAAGTATATGAAAAATTTGGAATTGTGGATAAAGAAACAAAACTAGCAAAACCAATAAATAAACTATCACAGAATTTATTTGCTATATTAGAGAAAGAGAAACAAATTTGGCCACTAAAGGATTTTTTTTCCTGAAGGATGGATGGATCCTGAATAACTATAATTGACTCTGAGGAAGAAGAAACAGTGAAGGTTGATTTGCAGCAAGAAACACAGCCATTGGGAATAAATACTGACCTACAACAAATGCTACAATTACTGAAGATAAAGCAAGAAATAGTGAAGATTGAAATACAGACTTTGAAGTGGGTTGATTTTCAACAAGTACCACCAAGGCGAGAAAGATGGGGTGGAGATACAAAGCTGAAAAAGATAGATTTTCAACAAACCTTATTAAAACAAAAGTGGTGGGGCAGAGGGGTAAAAAAGAAATGAGATGAAAGGCTAAGGTATATGATTTTAATGTGGAAGCTTCTCTACATTTAAATGTGTTGAATTATGAAGAGATTATAAGATAAAATTTAAACTGAACTAAGAAGGAGAAGAATAGGAGTTGAGTCCTTTTCTTTTTTCCCTTTGTGGGTGATATAAGGGAAAATGAGAGATTCTTTTCTTTTTTTCTTTTTTTATCTTAAAAATGAATGACCAAAAACTAAGTTGCATGACTCTTTTGTCTCTGAATTGCTATACTAGAAAATGACTATTATGGGAGTAGGAGGAGCTGTACTAAATAGATTTCTTTTTACAAGTGAGATGTATTAAAGATTGTAAGGAGCTGTACTCTTATAAGGAGTTAATAGTATGTGATTAAGTGAAGTGTAAGCTAGATGAAACTTAAATAAATTAGGTTAAAGAAAATTTGTTTAAAAGATATCATAGATAACAGTTGTTGTCAAATAGATTAGATAAGATGTCCTTAAAGATGCTAAATGGATGTTAGACATGTGAACATAAATTGGGTTAAAAGTCTTTAGTTCTTTTTTAAGCTTGGAACTTGTCTTCTCGTTCACTTACCTTTTTAGTGGATATTAGACTGGAATACTAGTAAGCAAAAAATGTATTTGATCGTATTTGTAGCTATTATAATGAGGAGTTTATCTGTTTAATATTAGAAAAATGAAAAGATCTGGAATTGTGTAGAGTTGGTTAGATTGAAGCTACTACCGAAGAAGAAAGAAGATATTGACTTTTATCAAATTTGGAGAGTCTTTCTTTTAATATTGGTCAAGGAAAATGGGACTCTGTAAGAAATGGATGGTCTGATCTTACTGTAGAAGGAGAAAGAAGATAGTGACTTCTATCAAATTTGGAACCTTTTTTTTTTTAATTGGCTGGAGAAACGGGACTTGGTTTAGATCTAAAAATGTTTTTTTAAGATTTCATAAATGGATCTGAATATGATTACAGAATGTTAAAAGATATGTAATAAGGGGCTGACCCAGTAGTTCCGATGTTTGTGACGATTGATGTTTTTAGTACTGTTTTAAAAATTTAATAAAAAAAAAGTAACTGCAAAAAAAAAGAAAAAAAAAAGAACTTGCCACAATTTGTTGTGATCCACACAATCAAAGGCGTTGGATAGTCAATGAAGCAGATGTGATGAAGCAGATTCCTCTCTGGGGAATGTGCTCCTGGCACCGTCGTTATTTGTTTTTCGGCACCAGGCTAAGACCTTTTTATTTAAAACTTATTTTAAGTGTTAATTTATTGGCTATTTGTAGGATTTTAAAATTTTTAAGCCGAGATGCACCAGGTTTTAATATTTTTATTCTATAACTTTGTTTTTGTTATAAGCCGCCCCGAGGCTTTGTTGCGATGGGGGCAGCATAAAAATGTTTTAAATAAAATAAAATAAATAAAATGTGTTTCTGAAACTCCCTAGCTTTCTCCATGATCCAGCATATGTTGGCAATTTGATCTCTAGTTCCTCTCCCTCTTCGAAATTCTGCCTCTACTTCTGGTAGTTCTCGGTCCACATACTGCTGGAGCCTAGCTTGTAGGATTTTGAGCATCACTTTGCTAGCATGTGAAATGAGTGCAAAGATGCGGTAGTTTGAACATTCTTTGGCATTGCCCTTCTTTGGGATTGGAATGTAAACTGACCTTTTCCAATCCTGTGGCCACTGTTGAGTTTTCCAAGTTTGCTGGCATATTGAGTGTAGCACTTTTACTGCATCGTCTTTTAAGATTTTGAATAGCTCAGCTGGAATACTGTCACCTCCACTAGCTTTGTTGTTGCTCAGACTTCCTAAGGCCCATTTGACTTCACATTCCAGGATGTCTGGCTCAAGGTCAGTGAGCACCCCATCGTGGTTATCAGGGACATCAAGCTCTTTCTTGTATAGTTCTTCTGTGTAATCTTGCCACCTCTTCTTAATCTCTTCTGCCCCTGTTAGGTCTCTGCCATTTTGGTCCTTTATCATGCCCATCTTTGCATATCTCCAATTTTCTAGAAGAGATCTCTTCTCCTCCCTGTTCTATTGTTTTCTTCTATTTCTTTGCACTGTTCATTTAAGAAGGCGTTCTTATTTCTTCTAGCTATTCTCTGGAATTCTGCATTCAGTTGGGTGTATCTTTCTCTTTCTCTTCCCTTCTTTGCTCAGCTATTTGTAAAGTTTCCTCAGACAGCCATTTTGCTTTTTTGCATTTCTTTTTCTTTGGGATGGTTTTAGTTGCTACCTTTTGAACATTGTTGCGAACCTCCGTCCATAGTTCTTCAGGCACTCTGTCTATCAGATCTAATTCCTTAAATCTATTTGTCACCTATACTGTATATTCATCAGGGATATGATTTAGGTCATACCTCAGTGGCCTAGTGCTTTTCCCTACTTTCTTCAGTTTAAGCCTAAATTTTGCAACCAGAAGCTCATGAGCTGAGCCACAGTCAGCTCCTGTTCTAGTTTTTACTGACTGTGTAGAGCTTCTCCATCTTTGGCTGCAGAGCGCATAGTCAATCTGATTTCTGTGCTGACCGTCTGGTTATGTCCATGTGTAGAGTCGTCTCTTGGGTTGTGCTTTTTTTGCCATAGAACGCACCGGAACGGCATTCTGGCACCTTTTTTTGACGGATTTTCCAAGTTTTAAAAATAACTTTTGAAAATTTGATGTTTGGTCCATGTGGATTTGAATTGCCCTGTCGACCGTAGCAGGTCAGTGGCAAAATCAATAAAATGGTGCATTTGGGCTGCTTGTTTGTCGAGTCCGATGCATGCCTACTTTGTCCGTGCTGGTTGTGATGGGGCTGCTCAGCTTGTGGCACTGCTTGGTTTGTGATTGGTCGTGTGGTCACACGTTGAGTGCTTAGTGTGAGCAGCGACTGTTATGTTTCGTTACACAACTGACGTGTGTGGGTGTGTGTACAGTGATTGACTATGTGTGAAAGGTAAATAATTTCTTTACTTTAAGTAATTACTAATTACTTCTCAACCACTGGTCCTGCTAATAAAAGGGCCAGAATATTAACAGACACAACGACAGAACACATAGATACTAACAGCAGGAAAAGGAGTCGAGAAGATTTGTCAGATGAGAATTGGACAAAACTTTACAAGAATTTACTATGAACATTTGCCTTAAATACAAGAACTTAAATTTATGTTAAGAACTGAATATATAATTTTTAAATAAAAGATTAACAAGATGTGAGTTCTGGCACCTTTTTTCTTACCAAAAAAGCACTGGAAAAGAGTGTTTGCTATGACCATCGTATTCTCTTGACAAAATTCTACCAGCCTTTGCCTTGCTTCATTTTGTACTCCAAGGCCAAATTTGCCTGTTATTCTGGTTATCTTTTGCCTTCCTACTTTAGCATTCCAATCCCCCATGATGATAAGGACATCATTTTTAATACCTTAATTCTAGAAGGTATTGTAGGCCTGCATAGAACCGTTCAACTTCAACCTCTTCAGCATTAGTGGTTGGGGCACAGACTTGGACTACTGTGATGTTGAATGGTTTGTCTTGGATTCGAACTGAGATCATTCTGTCGTTTTGGAGATTGTATTCCAGTACTGCTTTTCCTACTCTTTTATTGACTATGAAGGCGACTCCATTTCTTCTGAGGGATTCTTGCCCACAGTAGTATACCTGATGGTCATCCGAATTAAATTCACCCATTCCTGTCCATTTTAGTTCACTGATTCCTAAGATATCGATGTTCAGTCTTGTCATCTCTTGTTTGACCACATCCAGCTTGCCTTGATTCATAGATCTTACATTCCAGGTTCCTATGGAGTATAGATCTTTACAGCATCGGACTCTCATTTTACCACCAGATACATCTGCAACTGAGTGTCCTTTCGGCTTTGACCCAGTTGCTTCATTCTTTCTGATACTACTAGTACTAGCCCTCTGCTCTTCCCCAGTAGCACACTGGACACCTTCCGACCTGAGGGGCTCATCTTCCAGTGTCATATCTTTTATCGCTATGCTTCTGTTCATGGGGTTTTCTTGAGAAAGATACTGGAGTGGGTTGCCATTTCCTTCTCCAGTGGATCACATTTTGTCAGAGCTTTCTGCTATGACCTGTCCGTCTTGGGTGCCCCTGCATGGCATAGCTCATAGCTTCATTGAGCTACACAAGCCCCTTCACCACGACAAGGCAGTGATCCATGAAGGGGGTCAATGTGTTTACATGCCACTAAATCTTAAAAGCATGTCCAACATATTCACCAAAGGCATAAATGGGGCAAAAGTGGGAGAGTATTTTTGCAGAGGCAAACATCAAAATAAATAAAATAAAAGCCAGGCACTTTTTCCTGATAAATAGGGACAGTTGGAGCATATAAACCATTTTCCAATGTTCCAAAAAACATTTGCTGTGCTGTAGTGGAACTACTCTCCTTGTATGTGTAATTCATGCATAATCTGCAGTAATTCATCCGTTTTTTGCAAAATAAAATTCAGTGCAGGCAGCATGGATGTTGACATGATTATGCATATTTGCATACTAGGACAATTGTTTTAAGCAGGCTGTAGTTAAATTTTTAAAGATCTAATATACAATACAGTCAATATATTTAATATAATAAAATATTTATTCTCTTTTCTGCTAAATTGTATTCAAATAGATCCTGTTCAAACAAAGGGGTAATATTCTTTGTTCCAACTGTATGTTGTCATTGTTGAACTGTCTGGAATTAGACAAATGTATTTGGTGGGTTTGAATTAATAGGCCAGGCAAGCTTTTTTTCTTTTGCTTCTCTGTCAAATGAATCATACATGGTGTCTTTGGAAACAGTTTTGGCTGGTACAGGGATTTCTGATATCCCTACGTAATTTTTTTTTGCTATCTTTGAGCTGGTGGTGATGGTATATGCGTTGCTGCGGTAGCATTTCATGGAGGACATGCAGAAAGTTTCCTTCATTCCTCTCCTGAAGTTTGCATTATACACGGAATACAAGGTAGGTTTTGAGGCTGAGGAACTAAAGGATATCCAAGTAACTGACATAAAAACCAAAGAACTTTTCCTGTAGTCTGTCTCAGGTGGATGCCAGAGTTGAACCACATAAAATGGGAGCCATGAAAGCAGAAACAGCAAATTTAACACAAGGAACATCTTGATTGTTTTCACCTTTGTCCTTGGAACGATATTCATTGTCCTCCGGACTGTCCTACCATCTGTACCAATCCTCCAAATGTATTTGATTACCTTTTGGTAAAAAAGAATGATAAGAACAGATGGAATCAGGAAAGCCAGTAACAAATGTATGATGCTATAAATAGCTCCATCCCAAGAATATGGGGGGAAAAAGCTACAATGATTGTCCCAGCCTGACCCAAAAAAAAAGAAAGCTGGAGACACTAAAGCAGCATCAAAGATCCAAGATGCTGCAATCATTTTCTTGGCTTTTTCCCGTGACACCTTGAAACTCAGTGGATAAACAATAGTATAGAATCTGTCCACACAGATGGAAAGCAGCACATAAATCTGGACACCAGGTGTGAGATACTGAAAATATCTTACTAGCTTGCACATCACGCTCCCGAGTGTCCATCTACCAGAGACCAACTGAAGAAGCACAAATGGAGTGCTCCCTATACTGATTAGGAGGTCTGCACAAGCCATTGAGACCACAAAGTAATTGGTCGTAGATTGCGTCCTCCTGCTCCTGTGAATTACCAGGCAAACAAGAGAGTTTCCAAAGATGGAGAATAACCACAAAGCTCCCAAAAGCAGGCTGGCAGCTATGATTTCTCCTGGCATCAGTTCATAGTGTGAAGCTGTACTGTTTTTCTCAAGCCCATGTTCCTTGGGTAAAGCAGCCATTTCATTGCTTTCCAGAGGGTTAGAGGTTTCTGAATGGTGGTAGTTCTGTAGCAGCAGCAGCGCTGATGTTGGGGTAAGAAAGGGAGCGGCGTTGTTATCCATGTCTTGGACAAGCAACATATTCAATCTGTCCTTTAAAGGGCTGCATGGAGAGAGAAGGCCAGTTATTAGTCAAAATGAAAAAAAGAAATGTACCCTTAGCATTCAACCAATTTTGCCTTTATACACATCCTACATTTGTCATAGCTAAGGTCGTCTGCCGCAATCTGATGAGTTTGCATATAGCAACCATGGCAGTGTATATGTGTGTGTTTTAATAGGCTAAAATCAAGTTTGACAGCTGTGTGGTGCAGAACAGAGACCAGAAAGGACTGAATCCAATCTTTTCTTTCTCCTACTAAAAAGATTCCAGCTTTTAAAAAAGCTATACATGTGCAACCCCAGCTGCTGCTGGATCAGGTTAGGGAAGTATGAACAATCCTTATCTTGCATGTTTTCCCGAAAATAAGACTGGGTCTTATATTAATTTTTCCTCCAAAAGATGCATTAGGGCTTATTTTCAGGTGATGTCTTGTTTTGTTACAAAGCCTGTAAGATTCTTGCCCTGAGAGTCCTCCACGATTCCTTTCTTGTACTCAGTGGAATAGCTCTTTCTTTTTGCACCCATCTTGCATTTTGTGTCCATGCATTAAGTACATCCGTTACAAACAGACAATGTATTGATATTATTATTATTATTATTATTATTATTATTATAACATTTCTATGCCGCCCCTTGCCGAAACCTCGGGGCGGTCCATGTGCTGTGTCTGTACTCCGATCGGTCATTCAGCAATACATCTTGCATTTCTCTGTTTACACAGGTGTTTACCTCTTGTCCAAAGGCACCTGCTTCGGTATTTACAAATACTTAATTATAATGTGTATTATTTATTTTAAGTACTGATGTCAATAATGTTATTTATTTATATTTAATTATATATTAACATTATTATTTTATAATTCAATATGTCTATCATGTGTTGCAATGGACATACTACCATTTTTCTCCATCTGTCTGGCTGACGATCTTAACTGGGGCTTATGCTTGGGGTAGTACTTATATTACAAGCATTCTGGAAAATCATGCTAGGGCTTATTTTCCGGTTAGGTCTTATTTTTGGGGAAACATGGTATAAATATGTACATGGAAGGCTAACTATATTGGAGCAAAGGAACTGGATAGTGGGTATAATCCTTTGAATTGTTGCTATATCATCATCATCATATTCAGTATTCAAGCTATTTTATCTAAAGAGAAACAAAGCATGTTCAGGAGCTTTCGACTATGCCCTCTCTGCATTCAGTCCACTGCACCTTTTCTGTCTGGGCTGAATTTCTGGGCATCGGGGCGGGGAGACTCTTTCATTTTGGAAAGTTCAGAACTCCGTCCTACCATTCCTCAGTAGCATACCTTTAATGAAGAGCTGCACACATGACATAAGATGCATGTAAGGCAGGCTTCTTGGTGGAAATGCCACATTTCAAGGTTAGTTCATGAGAAACAGTTCCCAACCTTGCATCTCTGAAGCCTTTGTTGGTGAACCTGTTTCTGGGTGTTACAATTCAGACTGCCAAGTAGGGATTTCATGATTGAATATGCCTCTGTACAGAAAGATGACATAATTTATATTTATATTTCTTGTGTTGGGTTTATTTCTTTATCTATTTATTGCACCAAGGAGGCATTTAATCACTATGCATAATACCAACACTGTGCAAGTAATTTTGTCACAGTCCTAGCCAATCCCCTAAGAACCAAGAGCATGTTGCAAGAGAAAGGTGGATGTCACTGAGGACAGCAACCTTTTTTTTCTAGTTAGATATAATAAAAGGTGGCATATAATGATGTCACTGATCTCAGAGTTCCCCTCTCCTGCCCAGCTTAGCTGTCATTTGCAGGGGCAACAACATTTAGAATCTGATAACATAATGACTTAAACTTTACACAGATCTTTCCAGAGAGATGCAGGGTGGCAATTCTTGATGCAGCATGTATCGATGGCACAAAATCTAATTTGGCTGAAGGGCTATCTGTTATCAGTCTTCTATATTCACTTTTCTGCTTGGTCTTAGATATTCTGTGGAAAAGCCATATGGTAATTTCAGGCTAGCTATCACTGACCTGGTGTGCATGCCAGACTAAACCATGGCAGCTTGCTTTTCTGGGTGGCTTAATGCAATGTCCAAACCCAGAGGGGTTTTTCCATCATGGGTTGGAAATAAACAGTGCTGAGAATCCATGACTTGTAGTATGGTTGTTCAGGTTGTCTTCTTCCCACTTCTTCCTGGTTGTGAGGGGTAGTCAAGGAGGCTTTTTTAAGAATTGAAGGGCAGCCAAAAGCTTTAAAAAAGGGAAGAAATCACATGCTTGTGTTTACAAGGCTGAGACTTTTACCCTCACTGTTCAGAAAAGTATTTGCAGGTGGTGGAGGGCAATGGGGGGTGGGGGTGGGGTTAACACATGCTCCTTCTCCTTCAAGTGCAACAAAAGCCTTAACACACACGCGCGCACATGCATGCACACCTTTCTCTCTTATTTCTTACAAAAGTCTTTGCAAGTAGTGACCTGACTATGGGGAAGTGTGGAAATAGTTCCTTGTAGGTTTGGCAAAGACAAAACATACCCAATACACAAAGTGTACCAATAGTGAAATGGCTGCTTGCATCATGCAGCTGGGAGCAGGCAAGAGTACTAAGGGGAAACAATCCATGGCAAACTGCAGCATGCCTAGGTATCTGTCAGGAGTAATGTAGTTAGCGGGAGAACAACCAGCCCCCCATTATAAGACACGCTGAACAATCAGCATGTCTTATAATGACGTGGGAGCCAGCCCTTGGACTGAAGCTGAGATAAACCACAGTGAGCTGTACATGTGTCTGTGTCAGTGTGGCTTATTGTAGATAGTAGACAAGAAAACCTGCACTCTTGGAAAGGACCAGGAATATTCAGCACTGTCACCACCACCATATTTGCATTATTTCTGTAGAGCTGGAAAAAAGTGAAAATGGGTGAGGAATGAAGTTCCAAAAAGGGGGTCATGATTCAAAACTACAGTAGTGATGATATATTTAGCCACCATTTTTGGACTTTGGGGTCAAGGGAGTACTGAAGTGGGGGCAGGGGTGGGAATGACAATCATCAGTTCGAGCAGTAAAAGGATGACATGGACAACTGGGATTTCAACAAGTACAGAAGGGAAATGGATCTGTACCAATGAAGAAAGCAAAAAGCAAGCTGGTGCCATGCAGACTGGGGCACTTGTGAATGACAGGACAGTTTGTAAAAGAAACATGAACTCATATACCTTTAAAGTACTGCCCTTATAAATGCAGAAATTGCACTGAAAAGGGGTAACAGTTGGAGTGGGACAGGAAGCAAGAGAATTTCTTCTCCATAGGGATGAGACTGCTAAAGACTGTGGTAGGGGGCTGGAGGATTAAGGAGGAAATAAGTCATTGCAAGTGGCAGTTGTTTATTTGGATTAACAAGGTTTAATGAAGAAAGAACATACCAACCACAGCTTATTTTCAGGGTGGCTTATCTCCAAGCAGAAGGGAAATGGAAAGACTTCTTAATTAAAGAAGAGTTAAACCTAAGAGATAACATTCTACTATTTACAGCCCATTCAGCATTGTATTTCTGTAAGCCCTTTCCCAGTATCAGTAGCAACCCACCTAGGCCCTGTACAAATATTTGTAGCTAACAAAATTGTTTGTTTGTTTATTTAAAACTTTTATATGCCATCCCTTATGCATGGCATCTCAGGATGGCTTACAATAATTAAAATCAAAATACAACAAAACAATACATACAAATATAATAAATAACATATAACCAATAAAAATTAAATCAAAAGCAACTGATGAAACATTAAAATACTAATTTCTAAAATAACAATTGAATAAAAAGGTTTTGACCTGGTGCCAAAAAGACTATAAGCTCAGTGCCAGGTGAACCTCTTTGGGGAGCACATTCCACTTTCCAGTTCTGACTCTTTGAAATGCTATGATACATCTGACCTCTGTGACAAACTGGGTATATCTGTATGAGTTTGTCCTTGCAGCCCTCTTTGTTTGTTGACTTGCCCAGTTAAGCCGTCAGTACATGCATGTCTCAGACAGGCCTGCTCTTCCTTATATGAGCCAGAATGTAATATAAATGTATATTGGTGTGCCCTGCTTAAATGTTTACATTTTATAATTTGGCACTGTGGTTCCAAGAGACAGATTTTGCCCTTTTTGGCCATAAGTTTTAATATGCAGGGTGATCCCCATCAGCATAATGGCCACTCATTTGGCTAAGTTCCTGGATGAAGGATCAATATTCTTGATAAGCTCAATCCCTATAAAAAAACACACACAACTTCCATGGAGTGTTAAAAATGGTTTCTCTGCCATGTGGGGTGCTGCAACACCAGTCATATTGGAGAATGTTGACCATTGTTAGTTTTCCCCTGTGGGATGACTAGGAGACTGTTTTAAAAGAAACCCATACTGCAGGTGTGCAGAAAGCCCCTTGACATCACCACCAAAAATAGAATTAGCAAAGAACATCCTTATCATGTCCTGTTGATGTTTGGGTTTGATTGGAAGGGTCTAGCAAAATTATTAACTGGAACATTAATGTTTCATAGAAAATGTTCAGGGGAGTGGCTAAGAATGAAGATTTTATGGAAACATGCTTCCCCTTCATAACATATATGAATGAAGGCAATTTTGGATTACATCACCCAGACTCCCCAAAAACTTTCTGAACTAGTAGACTCACCTAAAAGCAAAACAAAGGAAGTTACATGTGTTAATGAAAGTACCAAATTTATATTTTCTTTCCTTTCATCTAGTTTTTTATTGTTGTCATTTCTTTTGGAGTTCTTCTTATGCTTAACAAACATAATTTTTAATGAATAAAGGCAATATGGAATGATTTCCCAAAAACAGGACTTTGGCATCTCTAGTGAAAAAGCTCTCAGGTTACCAGGCCTCTGCCTTAGATCGTGGAGAGTTGCTGCCAGCCAGAGTACATCGTAGCTTACTGGATCATCTCACTGAGCGTAAAGTTCACATGTTAATGTTAATGT